GGGGGGCGGGGGGGCAGCCCCTGAAGCCACCCCTCCTTCAAGCAGCCGAGCCGGCTCTTCGGGACTCTCCGTCCCCGCGCCAATTTGCAAAACCCGCGTAAGTGGAGGAGGCGGCGACAGCAGGCTGGACTCTCTCGGGCTGCCCTCCCCGCTTGCCGCCGCCGCCGCCGCCGCCTTCCACCCACCGCGCGAGTGAAGCTGCCGTCGCCCCCGAAGGGTCGGTGCAAATAGAGGACGGCGCAGACCAAAAAAAGATTTAAAAGTCTGGCCCAAGGCCGGGCGGAGAGGAGACCCACGCGAGAGTGATTTCAGGTGGGGGGAAAAGCGCCCATTACACACACATCTCTTTTCCCGCCTCCGTTTAAGCCATCCTGAGAAGTGAAGCCATATATTCGCAACCAATGCAGGAAAATGAAATACTGAGAAGGGGGAGTTATAAGCTCCGATTCCCTCCCCCCGTGCTGCAGTAAGGCAACTTCCCTCCAAGGAGGGCAAGCACAGAGACACGCACCTTCCCGCCCCGCCCCACCCCCCAAAAGGCACCACCGATTGCACCCCTCCACCGCGCTACCCCAGGCGGCAAATCCATGACCCAAGCGGGCGACCGGGCAGGGCAGAGGACGCTCCCCAACCTGCCTCTCTCTCCCGCCTTCCCGTCCTCTCACTCTAAGTGGGGGAACGGGCGATTCTTCCCGTCACGTACACACATGCCGCGCTTTTCTTCCAGAGCCCCACATACAATATGGGGTGAAAGAGAGGTAAAGCGCACGGGGCAGCCCGGGAGGCGGCCAGGCGGGATCTCACCCCTTTTCCCTCCTTTGCCCCGAAGGAGAAACTTTCGCGGACTCTCCCTCCAAAACTCACGCGCAACCAGCAAGGGCAGGCCGATCAACCCGCTCGTAGGCACCCCGCTCGGGCGCGCATGCAGGAGGTCTGCAGGCCTCCCCCCCCCGGGGGCAGAAGGTGGGGGGCGCCGAAATCCCCCCTCCCAAAAGAAGAGCCTCCCATCACGCCCAGGGCTCCACTGAGAAGGAAAAGGTTGGAGGGAGCAATCAAATCGGGGCAATGTCCCAAGGAAATGGACACTCCGCTTCCCATCCCCGACACCCCCCACCGAGGCCCCGCGGAGCGGCCCCGAGGTCGGATGGGCCGGGGATCCCCGCTATTTCCCCCTCCGCGCCTCATTCTCCCTCCAAAAAACCAAGCCGGCAAGCGGGAGGGCGGGCATCCCGCCTTCTGCCGCTGCTGCTTTCTCGCTTCCTTCTCCGAACAAGCCCCTGCGGCGGACCTTCGCCACCCCAGCCCACGCGAACCTGTACCCCTTATGCCTACTTCGATGAAGACCCCCTCAAAATTTAGGGGGGACACCCATCCACGCACCGACCCACCCACGACCACCAGCCCGCGAAGGCAGGCACTCGCCTTTCCAGCCCGCCACCGGGGCAGCCCTAATTCCCGGGGCGCGCAGGCGACGCGACCCCCCCGCCCTTCCCCAGGTACTGTCACTCCCTCCTGGGGCCCCCCCAGTACTGCACCTCAGCTGCCGCGGCTCCTGGCGCCCAGACCTGAACTGCTCTCAGCTGGCGCCGGCGCCAAGGCGCTATATAGAGCACCGCTGCGCATGCGTCAGCGTGGGTTTCAGTCCTCCCGTCACCGCCTTCAGTTCCCAGGCTGCCTATTCTCCCGCCCGCCGGCCCTGCTACCTACTTACCTACCTCCCCAGGAACCCTAATACTCAGTGCAGCCATCGACCAGGGAAATAATCTTTCCGTCTCCCCCAACACGCGCTCTCTATAACCCTGGCCTGGTTTCCGCTGTCATTTCCCAGAAAAAGGAGGGGGAAGAGGCGGCGGCAGTGGCGGATGGAAACGCCATTTAAAATCCGAATGCAAATACAAGGCTGTCTCGGTTTTATCGAGCACGCAATGGCGAATGTAGCCCCCCACGCATTCTTCGGTGCAACGCAGGGAAGCACCGCTGGACAGCTTGCGCACGCTTAATTCTCCTCCCGACCCCCACACCCTTAAGCACAGCGTAATCGTAGTGCTCAGTCTTGGCGCGCCAGAAGGACGTCCTGCTTCCCCTTCCCGGTCCCGCCTAATGCACTTCGCTCAAACACCATCGTTGCAGACGGTGGCGGGACACCTCGCCGTATTATGCCATTAAAACCCACACCCGCTCTGGAACGGCTAAGCACGAAGGAAGTTTGGCAGGAGCCAGTCTCTGGAAGGAGGCGCTGGGCACACGTGGAAACTGTGGGGAAAGGGCACTCGTTCATCGATAAAGAACTGGACCTCTCCGACACAGAGTCCCTTTCCACATAGGACACGGCCCACTCCCGGTATATTTTCGCGGCGGCCACCAGTTGCTCTCTCCCACGCCTTCCTTTAAGGTCGTCAGGCCCGCGGCAGAATGCTGCGCTCGCTTCCCTCGCCCTTGCAACCAGCCGTAGACAGTTTCGAGCGCTGAGCTCCGCCCCTGGGCAGAGCCTCGGAGCGCGCCGCAGCCAATGAGGAGGAGGAACGGCTCGGCAACGTGGAGCTGTCCGCAAAATGTAAACAAAGCCTGCTTGAAGGCTGACAGATGAGGGAGGTCAATCGGAGCGGGCGGGACGGGTGCTTTATCTTTTTTTAAACTAAGGATTTGAATGCAGTCGTGGCTTCACGAAGTGGAAAGGAAGCTGCCATAGGTTCTTTGCGAGAGGGAAAAGGTGGGGCATAAAAGTAACAAGTAAATAAAACAGGGAATGTGTGATCAGGGAATGTGGTCCTTCTTTCAGGGCTGAAGGTCTGCAATACGATACGATCATAGAGTCAAAGATTAGTAGAGTTGGGAGGGGCCATGAAGGCCATCGGGTCGAACCCCCTGCTGTTGTAGGACACCAATTTACACCATTCCACTCAGATGGCTGTCCAGTTTCTTTTTTACATTTCTCTAGCGTGGAAGAGCCCATAACCTCTCTAGGCAGCTGGTTCTACTGTCGTATTGTTCTGACAATGAGAAAACTTCCTGAACTTATCTAGCCTGAACCTGGGTTATTGCAAGTTGACTTGTTTATTTCCTGTCCTACATTTCTGGTATCAGTAAGAAGAGATTTTGACCTTCCTCTTTGTGAGTAATATCACAAGGAGAGACCAGATCATGAAAGACTGCAGTGGCTAATAACCAGACTCCTAGCTCTGCCTGGAGATACTGGGGATTGAGGCTTGGACCTTCTGCATGCAAAGTAAGTGGTCTACCACTGAATTATCAGCCTTCCCATGATACTTGCCCCTGCATGCATTCAACATGTGTCCCCTCCTCAGGTTTAAAATGCATGCTGGCCATTTGTCCATAACATAAACAGACTATTACAAAATAGATTTGGGAAGTGTATTTGAATAGAGTGGTGTTGCCATGGGAAGCATTATGTTTTGTTGTTACATGCCATCCGGTCATGGCAATACTAAGGGCATGATAGACCAAGCCCTGAAATATATAACAATCTCTTTGTTTATTAACCCTACCTTTAAAATCAGTGGTGTGCAGCCATTGCTCTCTCTCAGCAATAAAGAAATAGGCACCATGGACAAAGCAACAGGCAATATTAAGGAAGTACAGCATGAGGATCAAAATAGGTCTTTTGTTATTTGTTTTTGTGTGGCAGTGTTCCAGTAATAGCCTTGTAGAAATGATGAAGGATAAAGATGGATTCGGAAAATCATACTCATATAGACAAGCAAAAGGAGTTGGGGCAAGAAAAATGAAGTGCATTTGCCCTTCACCTTTAAGTTTACAATAGTAAGAAATACTACAGTAAGAAATGCTGGTGTAACATTGATGTAGCTGTAGTAAACAAACCTGTTGTATAAAAACATGAAATGACTGCAGATCTATGGTTTACTTTGGCTGCACTTCACTGCTGATGGATACAATCCAATACTGACATCCAAGTAAGTTATAAGTGAATATAAATTAGCAGATAGATTTGGGCACAGCACTAGCTCCACTTCTTTCCTGGAGCTGTTTACAATACTCTCCCTGACTGCTTGCATTGTGGAAGGTGTAAAAGGAGAGCCGGGTTACCATTACAGTTGATTCTGATGCTGATTTTGATACTTTTGCAGTGGCTGTACACTCACCCCTCCAAAAAAAAAAAAAGCTATTGTGCTAAATCAAAAGATGTTTATGATATTTTCCACCTCAACCACCCAGTTTCAGAGTTCCTGAACAAAAGGATTAGTTCATAGAATCATAGACTATAGTTGGAAGGGGCCATGAAGGCCATTGGGTCCAGCCCCCTGCTGTGGCAGATGGTTGTCCAGTTTCCACAGGGAGAGAGAATCAACAGTTTGTTCTAAGGTTTCCAGTCAGGATTGGCGTTTCACCATTGCTGGTATGGAAACATCAGAGTCTTCTGGCAAAAGTGGCCACAGAAGTTGCCACTTCTAGCTCTTGATCCCTACTGCCTTCTGCTCCCTAACAGTTACATCACTTGCTTCATCCCCACTGGTCCTGTGATGTGTCCATCTCCCTGTTTACTTTTGGAAATTGAGAGGCAGCATGAAAATACATGGGGGCACTCCCAGCAAAACTTTTTTTTTATTTAATAACATCTCTGCGGGGACTGGAGCAGCCGTAAAGTACCACAGACATGCAGGCACACTGGGGAGGGGGGTGATCTGTAGCAAACCAATCACGGGGGGAAAAGTTGTGGTTCAAAAGCAAGAATGGAGAAGGGACAAGGAAGTTTGCTTGTGAGGCTGGGAAGGTGGCATTGGGAGTGCAGGAACTGTACTGTCTAGGAAACTGAGATCATCTGACCGATAAGCTCAGGCAAAAATCCATGTGCCATTTGAACGGCACAGGATTCTTTGCTGTGTCTTGTGAACCCAGACAGTGCGTTTTGAGATGCAACAGCAAATACACAATTGTAGTTAGTATGTGCGCATTCTCAAAATATTCCCTTGTATTGTAGAATGGTATTAATGGAAGCAGAGAACAAAGACCAGATTGAGTTCTCGTTGTCACAGTAGACCCTTTTATTGATTCTGCTCCTCCAGAGTTCCAGCTTGCACCATGAAATACAGAAACTGTCAATCATTACAGATTAGCTATAAACCAATATTGCTTTTCCTTATGTTTCCTGTTGCTTTTAGGGATGCTGCATTGATTTGTTCTTCCTCTTTTTCTGGAGGCTCTTAATGAAGCGGGACCTTGCAAGTCTGCTATGCTACAAATCAGCAACATTGAGAATGAGGTGTGATAAACTCCTGGGACACCTCACTGCATACACAGCAGTGTCGGATACAAAAAAGAAACTGCAGGGTCGGCCAGCATGGCTGCAACAGGCACATAAGGCCATGGCGGGCCAGCTGTTTCATTGTACCATCTGCTGCCCTAAGATAGCGGAGGAGCAGGCAGAACAGGGCCATGACTGGGTGCAACGCATTAATTGAAATGTCCACCTGCTCCATCCACTGGGCTTTGGAGTGAGCAAAAGCTGAAAATATGCCTATGTTCACCTACCTATGTTACAGGCAAATATTGGTTGTTTAATACAATGAAATCTTAAGACCACTAAAAAACTGTGGCCACTAAACATTAGGGAAGTGCTAGATGTAACCAAAGCCTATGTAGTCCAGTATTCTGATCCCACAGCGGGACAATCAGAGGCCTATGGGAAGCCCATAGGACATGAAACACAATTGCGTACTCCAAAATCTAGCAAACACAAGGGTTTGCACAACGTCTGAGGAAATGCTGAGGATTACACCTTTAAATAGGTTTCCAAAAGGAGCAAGTTCCCCAGGTGGGGGCAGACACCCCCCTCTCCAGTAAGAACACTACTTTTCTGTATGTACAAGGTGCATGGATGATGCTATCAAGAAAGTGCTGTTGAATTGATCTACAGCTCAGTCTACACAAACAACACTTAATGGAATAGAAGCCTCCACATCTAGAAAACAAGCATCTCTAGAAGGTCCTTATTAGAAAATATCTCTCAGCTATCTAGTTTTCTAGGCGCGGGGACATTTTTTCCCCCTATACATGCACATCTGCATTCAGACATGTCAATTACCTAGCTGTAGTGACACACTCATAAGAACATGATTTTGTTTATTTAAAAACAATGACATTGAACAAGCCCTATTCAATTTTATAACAAAATTAAATGAGAAAACAAACACAGATGAAATCTAAGGAGTTGCCATTAATGTACTTTATGATGGAGTCTTAGTTTGGAACAGTATATTGGTTACAAAAAAAAGGGCGAGTGGTGGTGGAAGTGCGCACAGGACTAAGACAGATCACAATGGACTGTCTTCCATGTGAGTCCAATTTAAAGCACACGTTTACTCAAAGCAGGATGAACACTGGGTACAGCCATATGAAATTGGCAGGCTGGAAATCTCTATCTAGTATTAAGCAGCAGTTAAGATTGCTTCTGTGCACCTTTTAAAGTTGCCTGTGAAAGAGGAACCACTTGTCCTATCTAAGTGAATTTGGCAGGTTTAATGTTATGTGTATATCAGAATGCCTGCTAATTTCTTCCTCTTGGACGGCAAGTCATTAAAGGTAGAGGCGGTAGAAGACCAGCTCTGTCTTCTACTGAAATCAAAGGAGAAACAGACAAAAAGAATAAACTGATAATGGAAAAACAAATCGTTTGGATGAATGAAAAATGAAAGTTTAGATATGAAAATTTGGAAGAACTTTTTTTTCCTCCTGCATGCTTCAGAATGCACTGGGAACCACTTTTATCAGGCGATCTGCTACCGGTATAGACCAGGCCTGCTTACGATGACGACACCCAAAGAGGAGGCTCTCTGCCCAAAATGTGTAGGCTGTTCAGCTAGATAAATGGTATATGGAACCAGCTATACTGGCTCTAAGTTATGCACCTGATATACTGCATTAACCTTTTGTAAGATGGTTGCAGTGAACAGGCAGTGTTAACAGGGCTTGAAGCCTTCTTTGTCCTTGCTCAGAAGGTTGTAGAAGTAGCTACTGAAGTACAAGCTACTCTGAGTTATTACAGCTACATGGATCTCATAGTATCAGGGTAACGGAATTGTGAATATGTAAAGAACTGCTACAGCTACAAGGAAAAAAATTGCTCCACAAAGAAGCTATCATTGATAATGCATAGACTGATGTACAGTAATTATCTCAACAGAATTGTCCCTTTTTGTAGTCTTCAAGTCTGCTGTGTACAAGTCACTTGAAAAGGCACAGTTTGTTTACAATACAAATGAAAAACCAGTTTCAGTTTCAGCAAAATTATGAAACACCATTCAATACAGTACAAGTCCTGCACTTTTACAAGTTAATACATTTTTGAAGGGAGAAAAACTATATAAAAAGTCATACCTATCCACAAAGCACACAAATCTAATAATCCAAGACGTTCAGGCACATTACAGAGTTAAGAACATAAATATGTAAGGTAATTAAGAGTCTGATGCAATGTTGTATATGCCACCATTCCTCCCAGAACAGCATTATTTCCAACATTAAGAACTGAAAAGCGCATGTTTGTGCAATGCCTGTGTTTATCTTTTAAAACATAAGCTTCCATCACTAGTGTGTTATCCAGTACAGTAAGAGAAAACTAGTATCTCTCAGCTAGCAAAAGATCTTCCTTCAAATACCTGCTAAACCAGTAACAGGGACAAAGAAGGTAAGAGTAGGAAAAGTGATCCTCATTTTAAGAGTCCTGAAAATGCAAGTTAAACATTGAATGAGTTATAGTAATAAAGGTGAAGGCTATGAACTTGCAGAACTATACTTGCTGGCATTTGGCTTCAATCAGTAAAACCTCCAGGTAAAAATATTTAGGTATGTGCCAAACGTTGAAAGATTCCTGAGTTTAAAAATGCATTTGTGGTGTTTGTTCATGAAAGCAAGAATATTGGATGGCTACTGGAGTAAGAATGAAAAAAATGGTTCTGTATATAATAAAACCATATTATATAGATATGGTTCTGTATATAATAAAACATTAATGAACTGACTAGATCCAGGACAACCAAATTCAACAGAGAAATGGTTCTGATGAGTTTCAGAAACTGAGTAACAGATGATTCAATATTAACTAGTAGAATGTGAAGTCTGGCATCGGGCAACTACAAAGGCCAGCCAGGACTTTCCACGTAGGATTGTATAAATTCCATAAAAGCATAAACTCCTCTTATTTTTCCTTTGAACATCCATTAAATTAGTTAAGCTGGTAGTATGTCAAGTAAAATGGGGTTGTGAGGAAATTGGATGTTGCCACTACACTGGATTGTCTATAAAACCAGCATCTGCACAGTTTGGAGCCTCAACGGATTCCTACTGAGGTAAACACCCTGTTCCTTTTACAAAGTATATTTCAGTAGGGCATTTTGAGAAGGCCACTATGAATTTCAGTTCATTTAAAAATCAAATATTATAACTTTCATTTACATGGTGCTGATTTAAGAAAAAGGTCCAAGTCATTTCAGCGTTATGACTATAAGCTTAAGGCCTGGTGCAGGCCAACAACATACTGAGATAACAGGACTGAACAAGAGGTTTTGTGTCTTATGCACTGAAATGTAAAGAGGGAATGGAAAAAGAAATAGATGCCCACTTATTGTAGTCATTCTAACTAAGTGGAGGCCCAAAGCTTATCCATTCCATTCCTAATGATAGCCACACATAAAGGTTTGTTTTCAGAGTCTTTCAATTGAATGCTTCCTCTTACAGTTAGAGATGTTTGCATGGGACACTTCTTAAGAAGTACCCAAATGGTAATATTTCAAAACATGAGGCATTGAAAGAGTACTATCTAGCTACACTAAATCTCATTTCTAGGGCTGCTTCATACTTCCTGTGAGGTACCTCCTTTGTGTAGGAAACTGAGTAAACTGCATTAAACCATGGAGGATAAAGACAAGTCGATAGGAGGAAATTGGGTCACACAATCCATTTTCTCCCTCCCCGCTCTACATACATTATTCACTCCTCATTAGGAGTCTAATGCCATTCAGTCCATCACATTTTAACGGCTGTATTAGAATATTAAGAGGATATACAGTATACACAGATCTTTGTAAGTGTATGGCTGACCCTGAGAAATTCTGTAACCGCAATATGATGGAAAATTGCCTGCTATGTCTTGGTTAAAAATACAAATATAAAAACAAACCCATCCGTACATCATAAAATTTCACACACACACAAAGAACAAAAAAGCCCATTCACACAAACACCACTAAACTGATATGTTTCTGAGCCACAAATAAAATATTGTAAAGGCATCCTTCGGTACAGCATTCACGTCAATGTGGTTTACAACCTAACTGTAACACTTAAGTGATTGTGTAGAAACAACTGACATTCAGTCTAAGATAGATAGATCTCGCCTTCCTTATCCACATACACACACCAACACAAACGAGCAATAGTTAACCAATATTATTTTTGAAAAAAACAATAATAATAATGTAAAACACCCTCAGTAATTATACTGACGCTGGCACGGCTGGTGAACAAAAAATCCGTTGTTCTTGAGTTGCCGAGAGTAGCAATCCCTGGTAAGGTTTTGGCGACGGAGGCAGTTTCTGTTCAGATATTGTCTTGCATTGTGTTCTTTTGTCCACCTGGGAGGACGAAAGCTATGGGTCTGTTCAAGAAAGGTTGAATGAGCAGTAACTGCGGCAATGTAGCATCGGATGTGTTGGCCCATTTCATTCTGGGCTTCTGATCTAAAATTCAAAGCAAAGGTACTGAAGTTACAGTGCAACTTTTGACTGCCTGCAGGATAGGACTCCTGGGGGCAGGCGAAGACATTCTCCGAGTGGAAGACACAAGGCAGATGATTCGCCTGGATGCTGGAGTAGCCCGTGTGTCCTGCTATAGCTGCCATGAAGGCGGCTCTTTGGGCTATGGTTATGACCAGTAGTCCCACGAGACAGAAAATCCTGCAAGACTCCATCAGCAGAAAGTCTCTGAAGAAAGTGGAAAGTCTTAAAAATAGCATCTGTATACATTGCTTGAACCCATTGCCTTTTTATAAGCTGCTATCCTGTGGGTAATGGTGAACTCTGTGTGCGAGGGCTGATAAAGAAATACTGATGAAAAATAGTTTTCTAGATAACTAGGTTTGCAGCACAACTTATGGCCTTCGCAACAATGTGTATATCCTGCCATGGTGCTGAATGAAGCAGTTTTCATTACTGGATGTTCACCATTCCCACTACAGAAAGTGCAAGGAATATTGCTGTTTTCTTTCTCACTCTAACAGTACATTCTGGTTCATGTTAGCAATAGCAAAAACAGGAGCAATACGCCACTGCAGCATGCCTGGCCTTCTCCACACTGGCCTTTCCAGGCAGAAATGTTAGTCCCCTGGATAGTTTCTCCCTGACTTTGGAGGACACTGCAATGTGGAGCGTCACATTTGTCCATCTCTTTATTTATGGAAGGCATCTGGGTTGACTTCATTGTATCTGTCTGTGTTACAGGGATGCTGGCAAGTCAGTGAAGCCAAGCAGAGCCTGCATTAGACATCAGCAATGTTGGGCACTTGCCAAGTCCCACAACTTGGCAGGTGGCTCACCTTTGACAACTGAAGTCCCCTGGCCTAACTATTCTTGCTCCTTGCCTTTGTTTTCTAATTGTAAGCAAGCAGCAATAGGAGTGAGCAGATTGGGCAGCAACCCCTCTCACTTCTCCACCTTCTTTTTGGCAGCTGCATGGATTGGGTAGGGATACTGAAGACAGGTGAGGAGAGTGTGGTGAAGAAAAGGTGGACCCTCACAAGGAGGTGGTGGCACTAAGGGCACTGTTCACCTCCCAAAATCCTAGAGCCTGCATAGAATCTTCTTACCTATGCTTATTTTATACTCTTTCAATAATTAACAACACTGACTGTGTCTGAATCAAGGAGCACAGAACTTACCGAGAACTGCTTGCTTCATGAGGCTCTGGCCCTTCCTCCTCCTCATCACCACAACTGGTCTTGTTGAGGCTATGGCAGGCATTGTGGACCGCATATACAGACATGCTGGGATGCTCGATCAAAAGGTTTTCCAAGGGGCTTGTTTCCACTTTGAGGGCGGTCAAGCCACCTGCTGTGAAACACGGGGGTGGCGTAATAAACCAGCTCTCCTCCATGGGACATGAGTCAAACTGGATAAAGCAGGATTCGCTAGCATCAGCCAAACATTCCAAGGTAGAAGGCAGACAGGAGAAGACAGGCGAATGGTCAACAGGTGATGCTTCACAGATGGCATCATCTTCCTCCTCCTCCTCTTCTTCTTCAACCATTGAAAAGTTACTACAGGTGTCTATTGGGAGTGACAATAACCATTCAGATGGAAAAAGTTGATGGAAGCAGCCAGAGATCAGATGAAAACAAAAATGCACAATTTTATACTGTGATGTGTAAAAGGGTAAAAGTGTGACCTACAACTTATTGCTCCCCCTCAAAATCTGCTCTGGAGTGCTGGGAAACCCTCTGGAGTAGGTTTCCTGGCAGCATAGAGAATTCCTGAACTGACATGCAGAGGGCTTGATACTTGGAACACTACTGGAAAATGCTGTTGAGTGATTCAGTTCTGCTTCTTTCTGAGCAGACAGCTAGATGTTTACACTGCCTACTTGTGTGAGTAGGCTTAGAATTGATAGTAATCTCATTCTGGGTTCCACCCAGGCTGATTTTGGCCACACCCACAGATGGATCTTGGTCCAAGTCCTTTCCCAAATTAAAATTCTGAAGGCCCAGGCTGAAGAATGTTCCTCACCCCTGCTCTAAGCCATCCCAATCTTGGAAATTCTCTTTATGCAAGTTTACTTCTGAGAATATTGTGTTGGATTTAACTCACAGAAGCAAATATGGTAAAGCTTGAATGACCCAGGAAACACTCTAAAAAAAGACACCTCCCAGTCTAAACAAACTTGTCTGAATGATTTTCCTTCTTTCTTTTATATAGTCATGCTTAGTCTGAAACCTTTCCTGCCTTAAAGTTTTCTCCCTCTGCACAGTGTTTATTCAACAGGTATCATACCTATGAAGTCCACCAGAATCCACTCCTCCTCCTCTTTCTCGCTGAACTCAGGCTCTTGACTGGGTAAGTTATTGATTTCTCTCACAAACATATTATTCAGCCTCTGGAACATTACTAAGGCAATCGCAGGACTGCAGCTAGTACTTCTCGGTCTCCAAGAGTTAAGGTACAGTGCCACAATGTACTAGCCAAGGGTGCAGGTAGAAGATTAAAGTGCATAAAGACTATCAGCTTAGGCACAGAATATGGGGAGGCATGACTTATAAGCAGGTGCTACAAGATCCTGCAAAGAACAAGAGGGGAGAAGAAATCTTAATACTATAGGCATGCATAAAACCTTTACTGTCCAAGAGGCTTTCACACATTTCATGGCAGAATAAACAGGTTTCCCACTTACTTACAAGGAGTTACAGAAAATCTCTGATTAGTGTACCTGTATGATAAGTTGTTCTCATTTCCACATTGCACGGTAGTTTCTTGATTCCCCCTTTCCCTCAAATTCTGTGATGAAGAAGGGGAGATGAAGCTGCCACATGCTAAAAGCTTTGTGTGTGACCCAGTGGTTCAGTTACCTTATATCCTGGACTTAATGGTCTTGTGGTGAGGAACCATTTGAGAGCCTTGCATAATACTTCAGTTGTGCAGCACATCAAATAACTTTTTCTTCCCCTGCTCCTACAACTGCTACTCCAAGCTTAAAAACGTCTTCTGCATGTCTGATTAGTTAGAATATTTGCCAACTCTGATGTGAAAAATAACGCTGAGCATATGTACAGCTTTGCATTTTAAGTTCATTTAAATCATAGTACCACCATGACTACAGGAATAAAATGGCATTTACTTCTGCTGCCCTGATATTTTCATCACATGCTGCTCTCTTGGTGGTCATTTGGAGGGAGGGGACTCAGCTGCAGGGCCCTGCACTTTGGCCTCAAGGGCCAGCCCTAGATGCACCATGGCTGCTGGTGGTTCACTTTGTTCCCCAATTCTTACCAAACTCAGAACCTCAGATCTTCTGGTCGTTGGTTACTGATGTGTGCACCTCAGCAGGGTAAGCCAAGGTACTTAAGTGTGCACAAAGGAATTGGAAGTCACCTTGAGCCTTCAAAGCAGGGCCAATTCTAGGGTAGTGAAGAGGAGGTCACCATGTAGGACTCAAGGAAGGAGACAACATTTTGCAAAGGGAAACATAGGGCAGGATCCAGTGGTGCTCAGGCACTAGTGCAAATGACATGGTGCAAGCATAAATAAATAGTAGCACAAGACCAATATTTTGGTCTTACCTCTAAGCAACCATCCAGTGAGCTTCAGCTATTGAGCTGTGTAGCAGAGAGAGAGATAGCATACGTACACACCCCAGCAGTCACTATGGGTATCTTGCTGGAACTGGTTCAGAACTTAAGAACGTGGGGATCAGATCAAGGGTCCATCTAGTCCAGCATTTGGTTCACAGTGAGCTAATGGTTGTCCATGGGATCCCACAGGTCAGAATTGAGTGCAACAGCAGCCTCCTGCCCAAGTTTCCCAGCAGCTAGTACACACAGTCATACTATCTTTGATACCACGGATAGCCTACATCAATGGACTAGGAGCCACTGATATGCCTTTTCCTCTGAAAATGTGCCCAATCCCCTTTTAAAGCCGTTCAGCTTAAAGCTAGCCCTCACTACATCTCATGGAAGTAAATTCCAGTTTGACTCTGCACTGTGTGAAAAGTATTTCCTTTGTCCTGAACCTCTTGCCAATCAGCTTCATGGTGTGACCTTGGGTTATAGTATTATGGGAAGGGGAGAAAAAACTCTCATTTGCACTAGCCCCCAACCAGGTTAGATCCTGACCATTATCTCCTTGACCATATCTCAAGCCACAGCTAGCTTCCAAAAAGTGATGTGCTCAGGCTGTGCTCCATGGAAGCTCCACTTCGTAAACTCCAGCACTTTAAGCTACTTTTTTAAAAAATGGAGTTTTTTCAGGGTGTTTTATTGAATCATAAAATCATAAAAAATGTTGCTGCCTCCCAGCAAAGGCAAGCTGAGCCTTGGGCTTCCCCTCCCTTCCAAAAACATGACTGCCCCAGGGCCTTGCTAACTTTGCTATTTCAGGAGCAGCAATATAACAGCTTCCAGCAGGGGGCCCAGAAGTGCAGGAGTTAAATCCAGAAGTAAGTGCCACAGGACTGCTTCTGTCTTTTCATTAATCCCAGCACCTTCCAGCAGCCAGATTCCAGCTGCAGATAACCTGCTTTAAGTGAGTGCCACCTGCCTATTTGAATAGCCTGTGTACTCAGGCACCAGGGGGTTGACTTAACAGCACCCAGCAGTCAATACATATGCCAGGAATAACATACTCTCATAGGCCAGGTCTATGCTTTTCTAGACCTAAACATCTGAAAAGGAGGCTGAAGGAACTCTCCCAAAAGGCAAAGTTTTCATGTTTGGAGTTTTCAAACTTGAGGAAAAAAAAAAAGGCAAGTAAGGATGGTGGTAGGAGGAGGTTCAGGACAGACAAAACAAAGTACTTCTTCCCACAGTGCATAGATAAACTATTGAATTTGCTGCTTTAACATGTAGTGATGGCCAGCAACCTGAATAGTTTTAAAAGGGTATTAGACAAACTTGTGAGGATTAAGGCTAGCAGGCATGGTGGTCATATGCCACTTCTAAGATCAGAAGCAGTATATCCACGTACACCAATTGCTGAGGGTTGTAGTTTCGCTCCTGTCCAATTTGTGGGCATCTGACTGGTCACAGCAGGAATGGAAGGCTGGACTAGCTGGGCCTTTGGTCTGATCCAAAAGGCTCCAACTGATGAGTGTGCTGAAGAACCACCCATTGTCCAGAGTCCACCTGACATCATCTGCATGAGTCACTGTTCTGAATGTACTTCCTGACTGGGTCTCTCCATCAGGAGTGATTGCCTGATGAAATTGCATCCAATGAAGAACCACAACAGAATGACCCACCCCCAAGAGAGACCAACAGCTCTGGTTATATGTTTCTCCAGTGTTCTGGTCTTGCCAGCTTGCAGTGATGTACACACCCCATGGATGGGTGCTTTGCAATTGCTGTTCTACACCCTCTGTTGCACATGTACACAAGGCTGGTTCAACAAGGCCTTGTTGACATGGGTTTGAAAATCCAAGGAAACACTACTAGCAAACAATGAAACTTTGGGCACGCTTCCCTAAAGAGCTGTGATTCCACCCCTGCCCCCACCAATATGCATTGATTGGAGAATTTTAAAACCACCCATTCTTTCCCAGTCAGTCATTGTTCTGCACCCAGCACAATCTGATTCTGCATGCTAATTTTCAGTGTGAGGGGCTCTTTTTCATCAAGAAAAAAAGGCAGGGCTTTCTGGGAAAACCCAGAGGGTTGGATGTGGTCTGCAGGCCTGCATCTGTACCCTAGAAGTTATAGTAGTGCAAACAGTGCCCAACTAGTTCTAATCTGGTAGATTTGGTTCTGATCTGCATATGAAAAAGAATGAAATGCAAGAATGTACTGCACCCATTCAGGCTGCAGTAAAAGAGTGTCATTTACAAAAAAAATTCCATTCTTTTTAACAATTACTACTAAAATTCAGACATATGCCAATAAACAAGAGAGGTGTTGAAAGACCAAAACAAAAACAAAAAAATCCAATGTGCAGTCTCTTAACCACTACACTGTCAGTTCTGTAAAAGGTTACCAAATGGTGGAGAAAGTGGCTGGGGGAATGCTTTAACCAATTCCATATCCATACCCTACCGTAGTTTTCCTTGTGGGAAGGCAATGTGGTTTACATGATACAGCCTGTAGTACAATAGGACTCTGCCACCTTATTCTGCTTACCCCATGCTTTAAAGAAAAGCCATTATTTAAACAGGTTGCATAGTTATTGACTGTAGAAAGAAGATAGAAAATAGTTTCTAGTGGAAAATGTAAATATGGATGGATCTACTTACATGGCTTTTTTAAAAAAATCCTGCAAAGGTCTTCTAGTTATAAACTAGATGCAGTGCTAAGGTTTTTTTTCCTCTGTCCACAGCCTTGTTAAAAAGGCACACATTTGTAACAATGCTTTGAGATTGCACCAGATTTAAGTGACTCAGACTTACAGAAAACGATGTGAAATGTTCTTGCAAAGGAAAACAAACACACCAGAACAGTTGCTCAATCCTGGCTACTTTGGGTAAAAATAAACACTTATGGAACTTGAAAAAGATATACTCTCCTTCCTCAAAGGGTCAAGGAATTCAATGCATGGAGAGGTGGTCATACACCCCTTCATTTAGTCTTACTTCTGTGCAGATATGGCTAGGACCAGGCTGCACAACTGGTCATTCTTTGTGGGCAAGGATGCGTTTTATTCTCAGAGTATGCAGTTTGCTGTTCTCGCTGATTCCATATCTGAGCTAGCCTTCCTTAACCTCACATCTTCCAGGTGTTTTGAACTACAACCTTCATAATTTCTGACCACTAGCCATGCTGCCTGGCATTGATGGGAGTCAAAGTCCAAAACATCTGGAGCTCACCAAATTAAGGAAACCTGAAATAAGAATTATAAACCTTATAAGGTTATATAAACCTTCCTATAAGAGAAAATGATCCCTTTCCAGGTGCGTGATAGCTCCCTAGAAAAGGGTAATGCAGGCTTCCCCACACCACTGAATTCCAGATGTGCTGAACTACAGCTCCCATCATTCCCGGCTGAAGAGGTGCAATGGGAGTTATTTGAAAATAGCTGGTTTGGAGGAGTCTGGAGTAATACAAGTCAGAAATAATACAAGTCAGAAATTTGTTTTGATCGCAGGCTGACCTCTCCCTCGGCGACGGCGCCGGCTGCTCCGCTAAGCTTAGTCACACCTGAGCGCCGCTCAGAGAAAGAGTCCAAGGCCCGCCCGGAGGAAGAGGAAGGCTTAAAAAAGAATACAGGGCAGTCCCTCGATCCTGTCAACACAACAGGATATGCGAAGGAAGAAAGGCAACCCGATCTCTTCCACCCCCTTGGGCGGATCAAGTACCCCCACCCCAGGGGGTGGGCAGAGACAAGTGGGCGGGCGGACAAACTGCGGACGCAGCTACCGCGCCCGCTCGCGAAAGGGGCAGAGGAAGTGGCGCCCGTCGGCAGAGCACGCGGGTTGCCGCGCGGGGCCGCTGCACGCCACGGCCGCGCCGCCCGGCTTCCGTTGCAACTCCGGCACACATCCTCCGCGCCCCCGGAGAGCCGCAAGCTTGGAAAGGGCATCTCCAAGGCCGGAGAGGTCCCTTTGTCCACGCCAGGGCTCTGGCCGGCTGACCGCCTTTGGCCCGTAGCTCTGCGAGGAAGGAGCCCCTTCTCCTGCAGCCAGCGTAGGGCTAACCTCGTCCGTCACCCGCCACCGTTGAATGCCGACTCGGCGGCCCGAGTGCGCACATCAGGCACTCGCTTCCTCCTTGCTTCTGTTACGTAAAGTTTGTTCCCACGGGAGTTACTTCGCGGCAGGACTGCGCACGACCCAGGTGCTACTGTCCACGAGCCGCTTCTCTAGCTACCGAAACAGGATTCCAAGCGCCACGGATCCGCAGTCAGCTTAAACCGATTTGGTGGCTGCAATCCTATGCACAACTGCAAGGGAGTAAATTCCCGTGGGATTTCCCGCCGAGCTTCCTCTTCAAAGCCCTCTATTTGAATCGGAGTTCCACTGAAAGCAAATCAACCCGGCTTTCCTAGGAAGTTTAAACGCGTTTACGATTGAGGGTTTGTGTGTTTTTGAATCTTAATATTAAGAGCTGATGGGGTTGCCGGTTAAAACGGTTGACTCTTCCGAAAATCGGGTTAAATTTGCGGTTCTCGTGTGAGTGTGTGTGTGAGAGAGAGAGAGAGAGAGAGATCTGCCCTCTTTTGGTGGAGTCCTAATTACGTTAATGGGGCTACTCGGGAGTAACTGAATAGATCGTACCTTTACGCTCGCAGCTTCATAGACGCAGTCCTAGGCTGTATACTTATCAGAAAGTGAGCCTCATCGAATTTAGTGGCGCGCTTGCTCTCGAGGAAACTGCCGCTAACAAAACTACGCCACAAGTGGCTTGTGGGGTGCAGTCACGACAAAGCTCCGAGGGACATCTCCCTATAAATATACCTTTGAGGAAGAAGTGGGGAGGAGGGAGGGGGAAACTATTATTCTAGAGGAGTCAGCCCTCCCCGCATGAATCCGTTTTGGGCACCCAACTTTACGGAGGCGGGACAGATTTCTTCCAAAGCGCTGCCTTGTCTGCTTCTTCTGCCCACAGATATTTAATACACGCACCATCATACACACGAACGTTCAGAGACAGCGACGAGGAAGAATTTCGTGGCCTTCCCCGTCTACATTCTTAAAACAGTCCCGGCTCGAAAAGTGGTCGAAAGAGACTCGCCCGTTCGGAAGCGCATCTGAGCAGAACATGCCCGGGCAGCGCTACCGTGCATCTATCGCGGAGCGTGTAAGAACGGTCACTGTGGAAACCCAGCCCGGGACGAAAGGCAGACAGAGGTGCCCTCACTCACCGTCCGCAAACCCCGGTGGCACAAAAGAAAGCTTGGACGGCAGCTATAGAGGTAGATGGCGGGGAGGCAGCGGCGGTCCCGTTCGGCTCTTCCTGGGCTCCCGAGCCCTGTTGCATCGGCCGTCTCAGCTCCCCGCAGAATCTTTTGTTGTTATAGAACCCTGCGAACAGCTGATCAGCAGAGGCCGCCCCTGGCCCCGCCCCGCCGCCCTCCCCCGCTCCCTTCCCATGCTGTGGAGGCTGTGCGGGGAGTGCGCGCGGGGCGGAGGGTGGACTCCAGCTCCGACTGCACCAATGTGAGCCGCTCCGCGCTCGGGGCCGCGCCGGGACAGGCTGTCACTAACGCACGTGACGCGTCCCTGAACTACAGAGCAAGACAAGTCTGCAGCCGGGAGCAAGCCCGGGCAACAAAAGGGGGGAGGAGGAAGAAGGGAGCTGGGGGGGGGGGGAGGAAGAAAAGACAGGGAGAACGAGAAAGCACGGGGGGAAGGAAGCAGGCGGGGAGGGGGGTGAACAGAGAGGCTAAGAGAGGGATGGCAAAGTGGAAAAAAACAAGATCAGCGGAGAAAGGGCGGAAGGAGGCTTGGGGAAAAGCCAGGAAATGCTCTCTCCTTGTTTATTTCCACACTCCTTACTGCTCAGAGATGATACATTCTCATCCCGGTGATCAGTAAACATCCAGAGACGGAGAGGGCGTTATCTTACCGGCTCCCGCACAACTTTCCCACAACTTCAGAGCTCCACTGTTTTCTGGAAGCTTCCAATACCTGAGCAAGGAAAATAACAGACTCTCTGGGTGGAGTTAAGTAGAGGTCAGAAACCATCAGGTGTCCCCAGTAAAAACTTGCAGCAAAGGCCCTCTCCCTTTCCGTACAGAGGTACATAGCTATATTTGTATTTATAGCTAGACAGGATGGGATGGGGTGTGATGAGAAACAACTACAAGCATCATTCTGCCCCACTGGCCTTGGGATCAATGTCCTGATGTGCATAAACAGAAAGGAGGAACAAAGCACCAAGCCCAGCAGTTCTTGAAAAAACATGTCACATAAGGAAACAAAAATATTTCTCTCTCAACCTGCAAGTTGTAGTTTAACTGCACCAGCATAAACTCACTCTTCTGAAGAAGGGCCTCAATCAGCAGTTCACTGTTCCAATGCTGCATGTTTTGCTCCAGCAAATCTCACAAGATCTGGATGACAGGCACACAGATACTGGGAAGTAAGTGTTTATAAATATCCTCCAGTATGATTTACAATTTAACCTTCACTTTTTGCCATACTAATGGGTTGCAGCCAGGGTGGAGATTCCCCTGGATCTCTTGGACCTAACTGTACCATAACTTTATGTTTGAGCCATGAATTAAGCGAACAAGGAGGCTGATGACATGGTCTGCCATATTCCCTGAAGCATTCCTATGCATATTTCCCTTAGATCCCTCACAGTTGAGGTCTATGGAGTTCAAGCAGAGCTACGTCTCATGATGTTGGTGCCGAAGACAAAACATTCAAGTGGTACCCTCTGTGGGTGGTACGAAAACAGTGCATGTCTAATGCAATCCTATGCAGGTTTAGACAGGAAGAAAGTCCTACAGCTCCAAATATCCTCCAGCCAGTTGTGCTGTAGGATTTGTCGGTCTAACATGCATAGGATCACATTACAAATAAGTCCAGTTTAGATCTTTTAATAGGACATCTCCCCCACCACCCCCATTACTCCTTTATTGCAACCTAATACTGGCCCTGAACTTGCTGGCACACCCCTGTTAAAGAATATCCTAAACTCCAAGTCTACATTCCCCACAGAAATTAAATACAAAGATCTTATGTGTGTACATGTTTTATTATTGTCCACTACTCTCCCACAACAATCATATTATTAGTGTTTCAAAACTATTATAAACTAGGAAAGCTGTGATCAAAAAATGAAATAGTTTTTGTTTCCTTCTAGTTTGAGTTGACCTAGGCTGTTTGGGTTTGGTTCTGTTTCGTGTCAGGGAGGGTGTCTGGAAGCTACCTATTTTTGCAGCACACAGCTGCTGTGTGCTCTTGAGGACCCGATAAGCCTAAAACCCTTTTTGCAACCTGAATTTTAAGTAAATATCCTAACACGAATGTTCCTCCTGGTATACCTTACTACTTGCAGACAGGAGGGAGGTTTTAGGAGTGGAAAGAAAATGTATGTTATCTTTTCCACTTACTGTAATATAAAGCTTTAAAGAGCTCCAATTTGGAGCTGACTTCCAGTCTAAACCTGAGCCTTTATTGCTATATAGTAGGGGTAGAGCTGTTCTAGAGAGTGAAAAAGGTTAAAGGTGTCTTTTTTCCTGTTTTCGCCTCTGAATACTCTCTGTGTACCATATGGGAAGGGAAACCTTCCAATGTAGTACATGATTATAAACTGTTAGGGCCTTGAGGAGGCCAGTTTCCTGCCTGTCTCCCCACAACTTCCTTTTTTTCTTCAGCAGACCCCTTCAACCATCCCTAGGTCCTGGAAACTCACAAGGTTCAGAAACAGCAAGGTTATTTCTTTTAAAAAATATTTATTTTCTTTTTATTTATAAATTGTTTTGAGAGTTTCACAGGTTATCCGGAGAACACAATTTTGTTTGCATTTCTGTTTGTTTCTAAACTGTTAGACACTCTGTCACCCAAACTTGGTACTGGAAGAAATGATATGCGTATCCTTAGACATGATGTCAAAAAGAAGAGGTTTAATAGCTACTGGGGCTATAAGAACTGTAGAAGTAGGGCAGTGTGCACTCGTGTGTGCAGGCAGTAGGCACCTCTGCACTGCTGTTTCTCACCCACTTCCTCCAATTCATTTTCTGTAGCATATTGCAACCTTAAAGCATCTGGGCTCAAAAGAGATGGTCACAGAAACCTAGGAAAAATACTGGTTTCTGCATTCATGCTTAATTTTGTCTGGGGCCTATTTATGTGCCAGCACATTCATGGTTCTTGTTTGTTTAGTCAAACACTCTGAACCAATGAACTGCATGCCACATGAGGTTTGCCAGAGGCTTCTGATAATGGTTTAGTTTCCTGTGTTTCCAGGAAAAATACAGATCCTCTCTTCTAGCAAGCCATGGAACCAGCCAGTGTGAAAGCCCGTATGGTGCAGCGGCTACAGTACTTGCACTTTACCAAAATAAGAGTTCAATTTCTTATTCAGTACAAAGTTCACTGCATGACCCTGGACCTCTCAGTGTACCACACGGGTGTTGTGGGGATAGAGTATGGCAAACTTGCACCCACATGTGTTGCTCTGACATCAGTGGAGGAAGGGTTGGCTATGGCTGTTAATAAACACAATTCTGTAAGGGCACAATCCAATCAGGAATCCTGTGGCTCTCTAGGATTGCTTCTGTGCACTCCTATCTGCAAAACCGTTATCTGATTTTGGCTGCCTAAGGGGAATGCCTTGCAGTGGGAGGGAAGAAAGCTGAGGTGCCACCAGGATGCATCATAGCTTCATAGTGCTGGTCTACCCTTGCCACCCCAGAACATCCCCAAAAGTCTCCTTCCAAGGTCACACATACGACCTCAGAGAAGCAGCCAGCAGAGTTCTTTCTGTGTCAGCCGCAAGTGGGAGGAAGAGGATTCAAGCCTGGATGACCAGTCATGAGGTTAGTGCAATTTCCAAGCTCCTAGCTGGGAACTGGAAAAATCCTGTGGTCCATCTATATGCTGTCTAATGGCTATAGGCTTGGGCTGCCTGTGGAATGCTACATATGCCAAACAGCAAAACTGAAATGCCCAGTAATCGCTGAAGCAAGGTAAAGCATGGCAGCTCAGTGGCAGAGCACATACTTTGCATGCAAAAGGTCAGTAAAGAAAAAAGAAAGTATAAAATCACAATATTTAATATTTGTGTTATACTAATCAAAGCATGATTGGTTCAGGGGAAACTTGTGTATATAAAAATGTCCTTAGCAACTGCCATATACAAGCTGGGAGAGAATTCCAGGGTAGGGCCCAGTACATTAAAAGCTCTACTCTGACTGGACTCCAAGAAGACCACAAGTCCATGTGTAATCACCAGCAGTGCCTCATCTGATGACTGGGCAGGCTGGTAAGGGAGAGGATGCTCTCTGAACTACCCTCATCCAAGTTTTTTAGGGATTTATACACCTGGAACCATCTGGATTTACACACCATTAAGCAGGCCTGGTAGCAAATAGGCAGCCAGTCCAGCTACCTTGTCAAGGCTGAGAACGGTTCACATTGGAAACACTGGAGAAACTGTCAGTCAGTGTATGTAATATTGAGTTTGGTGGACCGAAGATTTTGACTCCATTTAAGGTAACTTCTTAAGAGTCAGCATTCTGAAACTGACAGCTCTGAAAATCTGCTGCCACTTGCCTTACATTAGTCCCGCATGGAAAGCACCAGCAAACATGCCCTGATGCTCAAAGAACACTCTCAAACTCTCTCTGCTACATGATGGAGATACGGATTCTGTATCTCTTAAACAGAATAGTCCCCAAGGTATTGGAGCAAGTGAGCACATTTGGAGTTTTGAGAGCATGTGGGTACTCTCATAAAATGGCTGTCATAAGAGAAGTTTTCCTTTCCACAAAATGGCTACTTCAGTGATTGCAGCCAGTCACAAAGCACCCATTTCCCAGGAGGCTGCTGCCACCCATCATTTTATTTTCTAGAACTCTCATTGAAGCATACATGGGGCCAAGAGGCATTTTGAAAGGAAAAAAAAACCTTTAAATGTTCAGAAGGGGCAGGGAGCCTGGTGAGCACCAAGGGAGGTATCTCAGACACATGGGCCATGTTGGAGACCCCAGAGTTATTGGTCTTTATTGGTGTGTGGAGAAGGAAGCAAATACATAAGCAAATACTGTTGTTTAGAGAGAGTTTTCAGTGATTAGATTTATTGGGGATGTAAGCACGGTAGTAGTTACTAGCATCCCAGTGCAACCCCCATCCCAATGCAATACCCTTTCCCCCAGTCATTTGTATTTTGCCATTTCTAAGAGGTTGAGATGACTCTCCTAAGACTTAGTTACTGGCAGTAAATGCTTTAAGCCCAGATATGTTGCAGTCTTCCCACCTGATGCATTCCATATGTTTTAGACTACAATTCCCAGCATTCCCAACCGCTAGCTATGCAGGC